TGTATATGATCTGTTATGTCTAGTTTTGATGAAGTGTTGACATCTCTGTGTATAATATGATCTGTTATGTCTAGTTTTGATGAAGTGTTGACCCCTCTGTGTATAATATGGTCTGTTATGTCTAGTTTTGATGAAGTGTTGACCCCTCTGTGTATAATATGATCTGTTATGTCTAGTTTTGATGAAGTGTTGACCCCTCTGTGTATAATATGGTCTGTTATGTCTAGTTGTGATGAAGTGTTGACACCTCTGTGTATAATATGGTCTGTTATGTCTATAATATGTTTTATATCTAGATGAAGTGTTGACCCTCTGTGTATAATATGGTCTGTTATGTCTAGTTTTGATGAAGTGTTGACCCCTCTGTGTATAATATGGTCTGTTATGTCTAGTTGTGATGAAGTGTTGACACCTCTGTGTATAATATGGTCTGTTATGTCTAGTTTTGATGAAGTGTTGACCCCTCTGTGTATAATATGGTCTGTTATGTCTAGTTTTGATGAAGTGTTGACACCTCTGTGTATAATATGGTCTGTTATGTCTAGTTTTGATGAAGTGTTGACCCCTCTGTGTACAATATGATCTGTTATGTCTTTACAGAATTCCAGAAGATTGCCATTGCGACAGCTATTGGGTTTGCCATCATGGGTTTCATTGGATTCTTTGTCAAGCTTATACACATTCCTATCAACAATATCATTGTGTAAGTATCTGATGGAGTCTGGAAAATATACTCCATTTTCTATTACAGAGACAAGCTATCATGTTGATACTAAAATAGCTATGCAATAATCTGACATCCTGCAGTAAAAATACATAAAATGTTTATTTTATGAAGATATATTCTAATCCACTTTAAAAGGAGTTTGGAAAGAGATATTTGTATGGAGCTGTGTTGAATTTTCTTATAAGTATGTTTGTTTTTTATCAGGGGATCCTAACTGTTGACATTAGCAGCAAGGCCTGAGTGAAGTTTGGATGAATGTGGACAAGTTTGAAAAAGGGAGACAACTGGATAAATGTTACATCAAATGACGGATGCACATTGGATATCATTTGTTTTACATCATATGCTTCCAAGATAGGATTAGCAAACACTGGATAGACTTTTAGATGGAAATGGTGTCATTTATCACAGCTGTTTGTATGCAGTGTCTCTGAAGATGAGAGGAAGGAAGGATTTTAGGATGGAAGAAACATTTTAAGAATTAAAACAAACAAAAACACTGTTGTTGTTAGTCAAGTCTTTTGACCATATGTATTGCACAAAAACTTGAAAGCATCTTCAAATTATTTTTTAGTACTATCAATGGATATGTTATGCAACATGATATTTATAAACCTGGCCCCAGTTGCTCAAAAGTAAGAGATAACCAGTGTTTAGTGAAAAGAAGTAAATAGTTGCCAGAAAAAAATGTAAGAGAGGATAAGGCAAAATTAAGACTAAAAAAATGTCAATCTGACTTATCTCAACAAACCTGTAGCTGTAAAAAGACGAGAAAATGTTTACAGATTTGTAAAATTCTTGGATGAAAATTTTGACTGACTGCTGGTTATCTGACCGGTCTTTGAACAACAGAGGCCTGATTGTTTACCTGTCAGGCCATCTTAAGTCAAGTCCATGTAACTAATTGTTATAATAGATTTTAAAAATGTTGAACAACAAAAAATATTAGGCAGGCAGTGTGACATGATTATTCTAAAACTGCTCTTCTCAATGAATTAGTTTATGATAGTGTATGAAATTAAAAAATAAAAACCCCAAACATTAATCATGATCAGCAAAGATCCAAGGCATTTGACTTGAAGGGGGTTAGTAAAAAACCTAAAGATCTTCTTAATTTTTTTAGTTGCATTATCAAATAAGTTTACTACAATTGTATGATATTGGTAGGACTCCCAGTTGAAAGCATTGTGAGACATTGACAACCTTGTCAAAATAAACACTCGCATAAAAACAAATAATAAAATTCTTGAGTTAAAAATGATGTGGCTTCACAGATTTTAAAACATTACCATCACAGATATGTATTGATGTAGAAGAGAAAGAAGAAGTAAGACAATGGCATTGATTTTGTTGTGGAGTGCAACTATTTCACCTGGTAGCAGTACTATCAAAGGTAATCATGTACTCAAGAAGGTTGACTCTTAAAAAAACTGACCTGTTGGCAAAATCAAAATTCAAACTCAAAATCAGTAGATACGAAAAGAAGAGAGAATTGTAAAGCGAAGACAATTGAAAAATACAAAGTTAAAGATATCAAGAGATGGAGAAAAGTAAAGGATGTCGAGAGATGAGGAAAGAGAACTTGATGTCAAGGTGAGGAGATCTGACAACCGAATTGACATAATTTATAATGGCATAGTCACTTGTTACTTGACAACTGACAACAATATTAATGGTAACAAATTTAGCATCGATGACACTAGATGCCCGTACCTTAGGACAAAAATAGTAACAAATTTAGCATCAATGACACTAGCTGCCTGTACCTTAGGACAAAAATGGTAACAAATTTAGCATTGATGACACTAGATGCCCGTACCTTAGGACAAAAATGGTAAATTTAGCATCAATGACACTAGCTGCCTGTACCTTAGGACAAAAATGGTAACAAATTTAGCATCAGTGACACTAGCTGCCTGTACCTTAGGACAAAAATAGTAACAAATTTAGCATCGATGACACTAGATGCCCGTACCTTAGGACAAAAATGGTAACAAATTTAGCATCAATGACACTTGATGCCCGTACCTTAGGACAAAAATGGTAACAAATTTAGCATCAATGACACTTGATGCCCGTACCTTTGGGCAAAAATGGTAAATTTAGCATCAATGACACTAGATGCCCGTACTTTAGGACAAAAATGGTAAATTTGGCATCAATGACATTAGATGCCCGTACTTTAGGACAAGAATGGGAACAAATTTAGCATCGATGACACTAGATGCCTGTACTTTAGGACAAAAATGGTAACAAATTAAGCATCAATGACACTAGATGCGCGTACTTTAGGAAAAGAAAGGTAAATTTAGCATCGATGACACTAGATACCCGTACTTTAGGATAAAAACATAGTTATCATGCAGATTATCACGATAGATTCAATTCTGGCAGATCTACCACACTACAACTTTAAGAAGTATTAGACCATTGGATGAAAGCAATGGAAGATGGATATCCTATTGACGTGTTTCGCCGATTGAAAAAGCTTTTGACGCGGTTCCTTACAAGATGTTGATCAGTAAAGTATTAGCATACAGAATTACAGAAGAACTGATACGGTGGATAGACAGATTCCTGTCAATCGGGAAACAAAGTATATCATAAATGGAGCCACTTCTATTTGGACAGAAGCTACTTCAGGAATTTCTCATGGGACTGTACTTGGGCCATTATTGTTTGTTATATTATCAATGACCTGCCCTGAGTTGTAACAGACAAGAAGGACCAGGAAATTTTACAGACTGATCTGAAGAAATTGTCGACACGGAGTTTAGACTAGTTGTTGAAATTACAGTCTAAGAAATATAATCATATGCATACAAGTAGAGCCAAAAACTCCAGACATAATCTGGAAAAAAATGCAGCGTGCATTAGGGAAAAGACATACATGGCATTACCACATTCATGAAAAAGTTTTTACAAAGGGCAAACTCTATGTTTGTCTTGATTTGATTAGAAGCTTTCAGTTTTTAAATGAAGAAAATTTTGAAATGCTGTATTGCTAGAACCTATCTAAATTTTGCCAGTCCAGTCTAGTACCCAGGCAAAAGTCAAATATATTGAGATGAGGGAGTGCAGAGAAGGACAACAAAGCAAATAGCAATTTTTAAAAATTTGACCTATACTGAGAGGAAGTGTTGTTCCGATTAATCGATTTAATCGAGTATCACTTGTTTGAGATGTTTGATCAATTAATCGATTAAGAAATCTGTAATCGATCATCGTGATCAGAGACGTATATATCACATACGTCTCTGTCGTGATGTATGAAAATAGATTATTTCAACATTGAAATTATTTTCAACATTAATAAAATTATTTTTAAAAAACGACATTTGTTTATATTTAAAAGTATTCTGTGCAATAAACGAATAACAAGCACACAAAATGATGGTGTAGGTACAACAGTTTTAGTAATTACGTGAATTGTTGTTAAAACATTACACAAAATACGTATTTAGACTTGAATAATATCCAAAAACAGACAATTAAGAATTAATCGATTATAATCGATCATCGATCGCTTACACAAAGTTGATGATCGATCAGGAAATCTCAACCGATTCCCAACACTACTGAGAGGTTGAGGAAACTAGAGTTACCTTCATTTTTGTATAGAAGATACAGTCATTACGACAGAAGCAAACAACATGATAATTACTCTGTTGAAGGATACAAAATTAAGACAACCAACAAAAGAGAAACTCTTAAAAGTATCAGGAACGCACTTCACTAAGTTAATCAGGAGATATCACTTTACCAACAGGAATGTAAATATCTAGAACTATTTACCTGGAGAAATTGTAAACTGTTTAAGAACCGACTGGATAAACGATATTGGGAAAATGAGGACGATCTTACCGGTATGTGGCGACACATCAGTCATAATTACACGTGATTTTCATTAGATAAGCAAGTACCAAATGCATGCATACTCTAAGGCGTGTGAGGTTTGTAAACGATTCCGGATAATACGTCCTTTGCATTTATTTTAGAACTTTATTAATACTTCCGGTCATATTACTAGAAGGCGACTGTGACAGCAAATGTGAACTTCGACGGTAAGCCTTCGTAAAATTACTTTCCAATGGTTATTTTATTTTTGTATAAGGAAATCAGTTAGTATTTTAGATAACTAAGCTAAGTTGTAATATCAGATCTCTTGACATGTGACGATAGACGTCACGACATTAACTTACTGACTTATTGTATGTTTCACCAGAGACGTATATATCACGTGTGATATATACGTCTCTGTTTAAACTTAAGAGACATGTCATGAACAGTTTCAGCTATATTAGAATCACAAACACAGTTGTAATTTATTGGCAGAAGGTCAAAGGGAACTGGACACCTCTTGTATGCCAGATATCAACAGAAGTCAGTACCTGTGGTTGGACACCCCATTGGAATATGGAATATTTATAATTATAAGAAGTAGGATGGTGTTATTACATCCCATAACCATCATGCATTATGAGTGGACTATCAGTTGTTATGTGGAATAAGAACAGAAAATATAAAAAGTATTTGAGTAATGTTCCCGGTTGAGCACTGGTCATGTTAGTCTATTTGAAAGTGAACTATTTTTTAAATGAACAAAAAAGGTGTTCTTGTATCAATGAATTAAATTGTATCAAATAAAAGTAGGGTACAGTGTGCAACGAGGCGATGCTTGTAGTATGTTTATTCAAGGGAGGTAACCCTACTCTATGATGGGGAGATGGAAACCCGTCGGCCAACCATCCCAAATACCATTCATGATTACCATGGCCTTTTTCCTCTTTATAAAATGAAGAGTGAGAGTATTTTCTCTTCTGGAGTACTGGAGTGCACGTATGAGAAGAGAGGCAATTTTGTTTGATGTAACATTTCCCAGTTTTTAGGTCGAGTCTGTAGATAGATGTAAAGGCTTATGTCTACTACATCTCACTCCGTCTCAACTCTCTCATCCCTTTTCTTAGACACTCTGAAGTACCAGCAGAACAAACTAGATATCCTTTTCTTCTGGAAAATTTGTGTCAGGTTAAATTACTAGGCGCATGTCTTTCCTTCTGTTTTGAAGTAAATACAGTTCAGATGCTGGAGCGTGTCACCAACAATAAAGATTGTAGGCTTATCTGTGTTTGTTGATGACTTACTATGCCCTGATAGTTCAAAGGCTGGTTAGAGATGACCAGTGGTGTGACCAACTGCTGCCTGGCTGTTTGATGCAGCTCCATTTCCAGTTTGTTGGTGTCAGTTTCTGTGAGTGGGGCCCCAAACTCAGAGTTTGCGTATACATGTGCTTCAAAGATGTCTAACTAGAGTTCTATATGCCTACTAACAACTTTTTTCAGATGTTGAGCATAATTTTGTGGCCTTTGTTCAATTGTAATTAAGATTTAACTGTAGAATGTTTTTCTTTCAGAAAGAATACTGTAGCATTGAATTTGTTGTTTATATTGAGATCGGGATTCCCATTTAATGACCTTAATAGGTAGGCATGGTCCAAAATGTACAATTGTATTCATATTGTGGGCCTGGTAACACACTACAGATTACTGTATGTTGGATTTTGAACAATGACATCAAAAGTATTGTGACAGAGGTCATTACTTATTTCAATGTCTCTGCTAGGAATCAAATTTGTTACCTCTTGTTTATTAGTCTGATGTTCAACTGATCAAACTAAGAGAAGTTTTCTCTAGCCGAGCGATATATTGCAGCAGTATTTACCAGGGTTACAGTATATTAACATTTCTGTTTTATTTTGGTCAAAACATTCTGAAATTTTGAAATACAAATGTAATTTCATGTCTTTCTGCACAAGTACGCCAAGGTAATGTTTTGTTGGGAACTGAAATTTCTTTTTTAACCTATTAAGTTTACACCAAATGGAGGCTGAGGACTACATCCTGAGTGGACTTCCAGTTGTCCTGCACAATGCAATGGTAGCATGGCCAGCCTCATCTTGGACACCGGAATTCCTTAGTCAGCAGCTCTCACAGCCATTGTCTTGTAAAGTGACTCCTTTATCTGTAGGTAGGTCCAGACGGTCTATTTGCAGTACTAGCTTGCAACTACACCATAAATTTGTCTTCACTACCAAATTTTATTATTTAAGTAAGTAACAGTTACTACACATAAAAGGTTTATTCAGATGATTGATAATGACAATAAAAAAAATAAATTAAAAAAAAAGTTAAGTTACTGAAAAAGCCAACCAGTTCTTAATATTAGCACAGGTGTATGTGAAGTAGTATAATCAATTTCTTGTCCAAGTAATTGTAATTCTCAACCAGGGGCTACCATGCATTACATATGAAATGTAAATTGAACATATTAAGAGGTTCTGAGATCTGTTTGACAAGAAAAGGATTTATTTTAAGCATTTTGTAGGCAGTATGTGTTTGCATGCTGGAAGTGAGAATTATGTGGGTTAAAACTATGTAAATAAAATACCTGTATGACTGTATCTATATGAATATATAAAGTAGATTTAATGGTATCTATCAAAACTTGCTTGTATATAATTCTGGGCTAATACAAAAAATACATTCAAGGCCCTTTAGACTGAAATCCCAAGAAGGGCATAGCATGAACTTGGTTCATTTCATTTTTTCTATGAATGTTTTGTTTGTGCTTTTTAAATTTTCACTTCAGCAGAAATATTTATAATTTCATACAAAGTTTTATTTTCAATACATCCTTAATGAAATGTTTGCACTGAGTGTTATTTTAAGGTAGTAGTAAGAGGGAAGTAGTATTGTGCAATGTTCTTTAGCTCTGTACTAACTAACTCCAATTTCTATAATATGTAATGTTCTTTAGGTAGCTCTGTACTAACTAACTCCAATTTCTATAATATGTAATGTTCTTTAGGTAGCTCTGTACTAACTAACTCCAATTTCTATAATATGTAATGTTCTTTAGGTAGCTCTGTACTAAATAACTCCAATTTCTATGTAATGTTCTTTAGGTAGCTCTGTACTAACTAACTCCAATTTCTATGTAATGTTCTTTAGGTAGCTCTGTACTAACTAACTCCAATTTGTATAATATGTAATGTTCTTTAGGTAGCTCTGTACTAACTAACTCCAATTTCTATGTAATGTTCTTTAGGTAGCTCTGTACTAACTAACTCCAATTTCTATGTAATGTTTTTTAGGTAGCTCTGTACTAACTAACTCCAATTTCTATGTAATGTTCTTTAGGTAGCTCTGTACTAACTAACTCCAATTTCTATGTAATGTTCTTTAGGTAGCTCTGTACTAACTAACTCCACTTTCTATAATATGTAATGTTCTTTAGGTAGCTCTGTACTAACTAACTCCAATTTCTATGTAATGTTCTTTAGGTAGCTCTGTACTAACTAACTCCACTTTCTATAATATGTAATGTTCTTTAGGTAGCTCTGTACTAACTAACTCCACTTTCTATAATATGTAATGTTCTTTAGGTAGCTCTGTACTAACTAACTCCACTTTCTATAATATGTAATGTTCTTTAGGTAGTAATGTTCTTTCTATAATATGTAATGTTCTTTAGTTCTTTAGGTAGCTCTGTACTAACTAACTCCACTTTCTATAATATGTAATGTTCTTTAGGTAGCTCTGTACTAACTAACTCCACTTTCTATAATATGTAATGTTCTTTAGGTAGCTCTGTACTAACTAACTCCACTTTCTATAATATGTAATGTTCTTTAGGTAGCTCTGTACTAACTAACTCCACTTTCTATAATATGTAATGTTCTTTAGGTAGCTCTGTACTAACTAACTCCAATTTCTATAATATGTAATGTTCTTTAGGTAGCTCTGTACTAACTAACTCCAATTTCTATGTAATGTTCTTTAGGTAGCTCTGTACTAAATAACTCCAATTTCTATGTAATGTTCTTTAGGTAGCTCTGTACTAACTAACTCCAATTTCTTTAATATGTAATGTTCTTTAGGTAGCTCTGTACTAACTAACTCCAATTTCTTTAATATGTAATGTTCTTTAGGTAGCTCTGTACTAACTAACTCCAATTTCTTTAATATTCTTTATGCTCTGTAATAACTCCACTTTCTATAATATGTAATGTTCTTTAGGTAGCTCTGTACTAACTAACTCCACTTTCTATAATATGTAATGTTCTTTAGGTAGCTCTGTACTAACTAACTCCACTCTCTATAATATGTAATGTTCTTTAGGTAGCTCTGTACTAACTAACTCCACTTTCTATAATATGTAATGTTCTTTAGGTAGCTCTGTACTAACTAACTCCACTTTCTATAATATGTAATGTTCTTTAGGTAGCTCTGTACTAACTAACTCCACTTTCTATAATATGTAATGTTCTTTAGGTAGCTCTGTACTAACTAACTCCACTTTCTATAATATGTAATGTTCTTTAGGTAGCTCTGTACTAACTAACTCCACTTTCTATAATATGTAATGTTCTTTAGGTAGCTCTGTACTAACTAACTCCACTTTCTATAATATGTAATGTTCTTTAGGTAGCTCTGTACTAACTAACTCCAATTTCTATAATATGTAATGTTCTTTAGGTAGCTCTGTACTAACTAACTCCAATTTCTATAATATGTAATGTTCTTTAGGTAGCTCTGTACTAACTAACTCCACTTTCTATAATATGTAATGTTCTTTAGGTAGCTCTGTACTAACTAACTCCACTTTCTATAATATGTTCTTTAGGTAGCTCTGTATGTTGTTCTTTAGGTAGCTCTGTACTAACTAACTCCACTTTCTATAATATGTAATGTTCTTTAGGTAGCTCTGTACTAACTAACTCCACTTTCTATAATATGTAATGTTCTTTAGGTAGCTCTGTACTAACTAACTCCACTTTCTATAATATGTAATGTTCTTTAGGTAGCTCTGTACTAACTAACTCCACTTTCTATAATATGTAATGTTCTTTAGGTAGCTCTGTACTAACTAACTCCACTTTCTATAATATGTAATGTTCTTTAGGTAGCTCTGTACTAACTAACTCCACTTTCTATAATATGTAATGTTCTTTAGGTAGCTCTGTACTAACTAACTCCACTTTCTATAATATGTAATGTTCTTTAGGTAGCTCTGTACTAACTAACTCCACTTTCTATAATATGTAATGTTCTTTAGGTAGCTCTGTACTAACTAACTCCACTTTCTATAATATGTAATGTTCTTTAGGTAGCTCTGTACTAACTAACTCCACTTTCTATAATATGTAATGTTCTTTAGGTAGCTCTGTACTAACTAACTCCAATTTCTATAATATGTAATGTTCTTTAGGTAGCTCTGTACTAACTAACTCCAATTTCTATAATATGTAATGTTCTTTAGGTAGCTCTGTACTAACTAACTCCACTTTCTATAATATGTAATGTTCTTTAGGTAGCTCTGTACTAACTAACTCCACTTTCTATAATATGTAATGTTCTTTAGGTAGCTCTGTACTAACTAACTCCACTTTCTATAATATGTAATGTTCACTTTCTATAATATGTAATGTTCTTTAGGTAGCTCTGTACTAACTAACTCCACTTTCTATAATATGTAATGTTCTTTAGGTAGCTCTGTACTAACTAACTCCACTTTCTATAATATGTAATGTTCTTTAGGTAGCTCTGTACTAACTAACTCCACTTTCTATAATATGTAATGTTCTTTAGGTAGCTCTGTACTAACTAACTCCACTTTCTATAATATGTAATGTTCTTTAGGTAGCTCTGTACTAACTAACTCCACTTTCTATAATATGTAATGTTCTTTAGGTAGCTCTGTACTAACTAACTCCACTTTCTATAATATGTAATGTTCTTTAGGTAGCTCTGTACTAACTAACTCCACTTTCTATAATATGTAATGTTCTTTAGGTAGCTCTGTACTAACTAACTCCACTTTCTATAGCTCTGTACTAACTAACTCCACTTTCTATAATATGTAATGTTCTTTAGGTAGCTCTGTACTAACTAACTCCACTTTCTATAATATGTAATGTTCTTTAGGTAGCTCTGTACTAACTAACTCCACTTTCTATAATATGTAATGTTCTTTAGGTAGCTCTGTACTAACTAACTCCACTTTCTATAATATGTAATGTTCTTTAGGTAGCTCTGTACTAACTAACTCCACTTTCTATAATATGTAATGTTCTTTAGGTAGCTCTGTACTAACTAACTCCACTTTCTATAATATGTAATGTTCTTTAGGTAGCTCTGTACTAACTAACTCCACTTTATGTAATGAGAAAATATTTGTTTGAAGATTTCCATGCTTGTATCTTTATTTCTTATGTCAGGAAAGGCACTTATGGAGACCGAGTGTATACAGGAATCAGTATGTCTGACAGACTTTGTCCAATGGCTCAGGGGAAATGTCGAGCAAAACAACCCTCTCCAAAAGTATGATCGCAACACATTCTCATGTTATCTTGACTACAAGTACATGCAAGAGATATTTACAATGAAGCCAGAGCTTCTCAAGGTGAATTATTAGCATAATTAACATGTATTTGACATTGGTACTTGTGACAGAAGCTTGAATGTTATGGTATGGTACATGTTGATAACAATGGTTGTTGTTATGGTGTATGTTACACTCTTTGTTACACACTTGTTAAGGTATGAACTGTGGAACATTTAAATCAAACCTTGCCAGATGATATTCAACAATGATCAAGCCTTGTTTAAGATGTACTTATAAATCTGTTTCATCACTTCTGTTGTACAGTCATCAGAATATGTGCAATAAGAAGTCATTAATATTCACATATACATTTTTTTCCCTTAACTGAATAACAGAAATTCTATGTGATTATCACAGCTACCTATTTTTAAAATGAAAGTTTTTTCTTTCTTTACAAGGCAAGGGTATCATACTTGGATATTAAAATATGGAAAAATGATTTGTTTGATTTAACAAGCTTTAAACTGTGTAGCAACCAAAAATAGAAGTGTTCCAAAATGACTTGAATCTTTTTTTGACCATCTTCTGGTACTAAATTCTTGTTAAGACTTTGGATAGAGAAATTTTCTAGGGATACATTTCATGATTGAAAAACAGGTCACCTTTCTTTAAATTTTAGCCATGTAGCTAGATTTTCCAAAATCAAGAAACAAGACGAGTAGTTTCCTCATGAAATCACCGTTTTTAGGTTTATAAGTACAATAATTGCTAACAAAGTTTATAAAAACACAATAGTAAAATATATTATGTTGGAATGCATTTTATATTGAATTGTCTTAAATGTAAAACATCAGAGACAGACATCTGGCTCCGAACAGTATCTGGAAATCATGTTTGAGTACTTGTGAATTGGTTGTAGGCAATATGTTGGGAGAGTGTAGGGCTGGAGGGACGAGACGGGACAGTCAGTACAATGTGGCTGGGAAGTGAGAATGCCTATACCAACTGTCACTATGATGCTTATGGTTATAATCTGGTAGCTCAAATATATGGCAGGTGTGTTTAATTGTTCAAAGTCAACAATCATGATGTTTTCAATTCTTTTTGTCTTTGTAGACTGGTTTTGTATTGTTTTCATCATACCTAATTACTCCTCGTACTTTATGCTGAACAAAAAATGTTTGTATCAAGTTTTCAGCTCGGATGTTGATATAAAAGGCTAAAGTCAAACTGATATGTTATTGGTATGAGGTGGTAGTAATGTTCAACACAGGGAGTGAGTACTGTTCACTTCACAAGAGAGTGGCATCTCTTTCTCTTCAGACAGACATGTGTTTCTTCTTTCGTAGTTTCTGAACCTAAATTCTATACTTGTAATGAGAATATATGATTTCACTTATATTTACAGTGTATAATGAGTTACATGTACACACATCTGATCATTACCAACAGTAATCTACTAAGGAATAGTTGGTATCATTTCCTCAAGGTCAACTAGACTGACTTTAGACATGAAATGTTGTTAACTACATTGCCACATTAAGCAGAGGCTAGATATTGACACAGAAAGACATGTGCTGAAGAGATATGTACAACTTCATGTGTGTCTCCTGAGACTCAAGGCATTGATAAATGTATCTTTGTTTTTTAGAAAACGATGGCTACTGTTTCCCCCATCAGATACCAAGTACCTCTATGCCACACGAATCCCTTTTGAGGAGTCCAGCATATTCTCACAAGTGGATGTTAAAAATCCAGACCTCAAGCTTCATCCAAAGATTAAGGTATTGTATAGTTAAATACATAGATCACTTTTTAACATTCATTATTGTATGTTGTCACCCCAACATTACATCAGCTGTTATCTCCCCAACATTACATCAGCTGTTGTCTCCCCAACATTACATCAGCTGTTGTCACCCCAACATTACATCAGCTGTTGTCACCCCAACATTACATCAGCTGTTGTCACCCCAACATTACATCAGCTGTTGTCACCCCAACATTACATCAGCTGTTGTCACCCCAACATTACATCAGCTGTTGTCACCCCGACATTACATCAGCTGTTGTCTCCCCGACATTACATCAGCTGTTGTCACCCCGACATTACATCAGCTGTTGTCACCCCGACATTACATCAGCTGTTGTCACCCCAACATTACATCAGCTGTTGTCACCCCGACATTACATCACCTGTTGTCATCCCAACATTACATCAGCTGTTGTCACCCCAACATTACATCAGCTGTTGTCTCCCAAACATTACATCAGCTGTTGTCTCCCCGACATTACATCAGCTGTTGTCACCCCAACATTACATCAGCTGTTGTCACCCCGACATTACATCACCTGTTGTCATCCCAACATTACATCAGCTGTTGTCACCCCAACAGTACATCAGCTGTTGTCATCTCAACATTACATCACCTGTTGTCATCCCAATATTACATCAGCTGATATTTCCCCGACATTACATCAGCTGTTGTCATCCCAACAGTACATCAGCTGTTGTCACCATAACATTTCATCAGCTGTTGTCTCCCCAACAGTACATCAGCTGTTGTCTCCCCGACATTACATCAGCTGTTGTCATCCCAACATTACATCAGCTGTTGTCATCCCAACAGTACATCAGCTGTTGTCACCAGAACATTTCATCAGCTGTTGTCACCCCAACATTACATCAGCTGTTGTCATCCCAACAGTACATCAGCTGTTGTCACCAGAACATTTCATCAGCTGTTGTCACCCCAACATTACATCAGCTGTTGTCATCCCAACATTACATTAGCTGTTGTCTCTCCAATATTACATCAGCTGTTGTCATCCCAACATTACATCAGCTGTTGTCTCCCCAAAATTACATCAGCTGTTGTCATCCCAACATTACATCAGCTGTTGTCTCCCCAATATTACATTAGCTGTTGTCTCCCCGACATTACATTAGCTGTTGTCACCCCGACATTACATCACCTGTTGTCACCCCAACATTACATCAGCTGTTGTCATCCCAACATTACATCAGCTGTTGTCTCCCCAAAATTACATCACCTGTTGTCATCCCAACATTACATCAGCTGTTGTCTTCCCAACATTACATCAGCTGTTGTCAACCCAACATTACATCAGCTGTTGTCATTTTTACGAATTGATAAAGAAGTTATATAATAGAGTTTGATTGTCATTATTATATTAGTAGAGTCTTTATCTTTCCAGCTGACAAATGTATATGAGGTTATCCTGGAGCCAGGTCAGATCCTGTATGTACCAAGGCACTGGTGGCATTATGTTGAGTGTCTCGAACCAGCCATCAGTATCAACACCTGGGTAGAACTGGTAATTATATACTACTGTTACAGTATACAAACATTCACATTGTTGAGTGTCTCGAACCAGCCATCAGTATCAACACCTGGGTAGAACTGGTAATTATATACTACTGTTACAGTATACAAACATTCACAGGACCCAACGGTCAGTATCAACACCTGGGTAGAACTGGTAATTATATACTACTGTTACAATATACAAACATTCACAGGACCTAACCATCAGTATCAACACCTGGGTAGAACTGGTAATTATATACTACTGTTACAGTATACAAACATTCACAGGACCTAACCATCAGCATCAACACCTGGGTAGAACTGGTAATTATATACTGCTGTTACAATATACAAACATTCACAGGACCCAATGGTCAGTATCAATACTTAGGTAGAACTGTTAATTATATACTTAAAGTTTACAAACCTTAACCGTATGTGTGATAATTCTATCTTGTAGACTGTTGACAATGAGTCCAGGATAGAGGAGGCAGTGACACGCAGCCTTTTCTCAAGTCTCTTGAGCTCCTACGTGAATACAGAGAAACAAGTAACAGATGATGGCCATAAGTTGGGGGCAATTGACGCCTTACAACAGGAAATCAACACTCAGAAGTGGATCAACCCTAAAGAGGTGAGTACAAGGGAGGTAACAAGATAGAAGACAAAGGGTCACAGAAGTGTATTAATGCTAAGGTGAGTTTAAGAGGTGTTATGATTTTATAGGTGAAGGGTGATTTTGAGGTTGTAGTCTTCAGATTGTCTGTTGGGTCATAAAAGTTATCATGTCAGCTCTTGTGATATTTTGAAATACTTGGTATAACAAATAAGTGAGGAATCATCATGGGAATGTATGATATTCTTATCCGTTTTATCTTGTTTCTACTAACAAGATCAGTTTCAAGGTGTTACATGAATTTTACTCAGTAGAAATGATCCAGTAAGTCCTATTTGATAGTTTGAGATCAAGTAAATGTATGTGTAATACTTGTTGTCTTATGGTTTCAGGAGATTTGGGATAACAGTCGCAACACACTTGTGCTGAATGAGACACTTAAAGCATTGGGAGATGATAGTAGCTTTACGAACGGTGATGTCTGTCCAAGGTCGGAAGGAGGACACAAGATGGAAATTTCAGGCATCTCGAATTCGTCTGCCAGTAACAAACAAAGGGAAAAGAACTTGGAAAAATTTGCACAGCACTTTAGAGGAAAGACAGTACTTTTTCAAGAAACCCCAAATAAAAACAACAAATTGAGAAAACAAGAGTTGAGAAGAGAGAGCAGTATACCCGATACATCAGCTCAGCAACCAGATAAAAATGTTGATGTCACTTCTGTTAGTATCTGTTTAAAAAGAAAACATACCGATGATTATGTTGATCCACCCTGTACTGCAAAAGCTTGCAACAGAAGCCTGAAGTCTGAACTGTTGGTCAAAATTGTCTCAGATTCAAACTGTGACAGCAACCATGCAACCGTAGATACAAGTTGTAAGTGTATGAAACCATGTCTACAGTGCCCTGACCAGGATTGTAAGGAAAATGTATGCCAATCAAGGATAGTCCCTCCTACACAGTCAGAGGAAATAAGTCTTACTGCAGTGACAGCACAGCCGTTCATGACATGGTACTCTTTGTGTAAACATAAACATGGAAACTGCAATTCAATCAGGGATTTAACTGGTAGTGTAATGGACAACAACTTTATGCAAACTTCGACCCAAATTCTGGAAAATGCGAGTGGCAGCACACCACACAATTTCAAGCTGGGAAGTGAGTGTTCATGTAGTTATCCAAAGGTGTCCTGTTATGAAAAAGAAATGTGCAAAAATTGTAAGAGTTGCTGTTCATTAATTCATGGTGATAATGATGGATTGACACATGATATCTGCGAAAAAGTGATTTCTAAAAATACACTGACGTTTGAAAAATTTGTGATGTGTGCTACACATCCTAATGTTATACAGACTATCGTCGAAACGATCAAGAATAACATGACGATTGATTAAGAATTCATCCAGTATTATGTGAAATCTTACCTTTTCTGAAAATGTTAGGGTATACATGTAAATGTCAGGTCTTGTATGTGAAATTGTGATCCATACAGGTTTCTGGAAACTGATTTTCTGTATAAACTATTCTGTTTTACCAGAGCGTGTTCTTTTTGATGCATTACTCCAATTGTATATTTTACATCTTGATACAAACCTAAAGTTTCACAATCCCCTAAATGATTCAGATTGACAGGTTGATAGTTGCTGGTTGATATTCATCATATACTTTATAGTAATAAATTAGTTGCATAAGTGATGGTTTGTATGTAGTGTATAATTGCCTGTAACCATTTTGTCATTGTGTCCGTCCAAAATCTTTAAATTGGCAAATGGCTTTTATGGTTTGGCATTGTCCATCTGTACACATTTTTTTTGCAATCAATAACTTTCAAACTAGGACATGACATGATGTTGTTTTCCTGAACAGCAATTTTATTCCAATGTAGTTGGAAGGTTAATGCCCTTTGTTGTTTTTGTAATGTTAATCTTGTACGGAGATCTCTAAATTTTCAACTCATTCCTCTAAAATTTTGTATGCTTATTCAACGTTACGTGAGAGAGGTTTTTTTTCAACTGTTTTCAAAGAAAGTATTCCACGTTGTACTTATAGCACTAAAGTTTTGTACAGGAGACTCCTGCCTCACTTTTTAACAAAGGTCTTTGAAAGTTGGCAAGCTTCAAATGTTCTCATGAACAGCATTTTGATTCAACAATATTTTGAAAAATATTGCTCTTTGTTCTCCTGAGCATTTCAATGCAGAGATTTCTTTCAATTTTCCACCCATCTCTTAAAAACCTGGTACTTATTACTTCTCATTAAAACATATAGCACAGTATTCTCCATTTACATTTTGACTGATCTTTACCATTGCCATATTTGTATTCTTTTGGAAACCGTTAATTGTAAATACTTTACATAAATTGCTCTGCATGGTCAGTGAGGTAGCCAACAACTACTGCAAAGAGATCTGGCCTGTTCAAAGAGGTATTAACCCAACAAACAAGCACATGGATACCAGATCAGTATAAACGTATTGTACTGTGTTAGTGTCCATGGGCAACACACTTCACCCATATTGTTGTGAATAACGAACAACAAGCAACTTGCTTGTAGTTAAGTGAGGCCGCTACTACTTTGAAACTTCTTTCCTGAAAATGAACCTGGCTGTAGATATGGTGATAGACATAGAAAACAAATACGTTGTATCTTTAAAAATGTTTAAATAAACTGGAGTAAATTGTGTCAAAACACAAATGATTGTGGGACCTCCATGTAAATGATTAAAGACAACAGGTAGGAGCCATGTGGTACATGAACACAATTTTATTTCAAAAGTACTTTTTACTCCAGTGTACATAAAATACATCTCTTTGACAGCCTTCATCATCCACACTCGGTCACAAACCACACATATAACCAATGTTACATCACCCACACTCGGTCACAAACCACACATATACCCAATGTTACATCATCCACACTCGATCACAAACCACACATATACCCAATGTTAAAATCACTCCTTGTACAAATAATCTCCGGTACACTACATAAAGACGAGTCACTGATGCTTGATTACAATATTCTGATGATGATGACCTGTATTAATATCAGACAAACAGACAGACCAAAATGTTTCTTATATTAATGACCTGTAGTGATATCAGACAAACAGACAGACCAAAATGTTCCTTATATTAATGACCTGTAGTGATATCAGACAAACAGACAGACCAAAATGTTCCTTATAATAATGACCTGTAGTGATATCAGACAAACAGACAGACCAAAATGTTCCTTATAATAATGACCTGTAGTGATATCAGACCGAAATGTTCCTTAAAATAATGACGATACACCTGTTTATTGTCTCCTTTACACATTCTGTTCCCAACAGGTTTCCAATAAGAGTAAAACTGATAATAAAAATCACCAGACTTTCCAGGAATATTTTCACCTGATGAAACACATTTTTACCAAATACATCTGATGCAGTTTGGCATACAATAGGTTTGATTGTTTTCTAGTAACTGAAATGTCCATACATGACTGAATGAAGCAATTTGAAAACCTTTATATCCAACAGAATGCCTTTCTAAAATTTTATGATGACTCCCAATTGGATGTAATTATACAATGACTACTACCAGGTATGCTGTTTCACCATATAACTACACATTCAGTAGTTCCTGGCTGTGTTCTGGATGCACAGAAACAAAATGTAACAGTTGTATTGCTACAAATACTTAATACATGTCACAATTTGCACATTTTCAGTACAAACATCTCATATGTACACTTGTACATACCAAAACTAGTCATCTGTCATTCCCTCAAGACTAAATTGTACACATGAGTACGAACAAACACTGGTGCACTTCAAACTTGAAAAAACACATATTCCTAAAATCACATCTCATTTGTTCATTCAATACTTCTATAACACATATGTACACACTTTCTAAAACCATACCAAATTAATAGCACAAGGGATATGATCATTTACTGATCAAATGTACATAAGACATCCACATACTTACTCAAAGACTAAATTTCACTTCATTAAGCCCAAAAATAAAATCATATATAGCTAATTATTTTTAAAGGAGACCATACAATGTACATAAGTATGTTCTCTGACTAAAACAATGGATCGTATCCTTTGTATCCTCAATAAAATCATAAAGTAGTGTAACAACATATATACTGGCAAACTTACGTCACTTAGCTCATGATTTCAGTGAACATGAATTGTTAAGTAATATTGATACCAAAGGACAAAACCAAATTCACCAATCCATTAAATCAGCATTCAATTACAGAGTTTGTCTTTTCCCCCCAGTAAACAGTCAAATAAGATACAAGTACAAGTGTGTACAGAAAACATTTCTATACTTCTGTTTATTGTGTATATGATAGAGTCCAGTATTCAATACATAATGACAATGTCATAACAGTGGAAAACATACACATACGTACTGTCAACACTTCATACCACACAACAACTGTCATGCAAACTCCTCACATGTTACACTCAAAAGACTAGTTCTAGTGATGTTAGCTACCCAGGACTAGTACCAAGTTCACTTCTAATATGCCAAGGCCACGTAATCTACGCCGAACCTCTAGCCCGAGGTTCTGATACAATAATAATTAACAATTATAACAATACCTAACAATGAGCTATATGTGAACAGGATAAAATTTGTGGGGTGGGATTCCAATGTTTTGGCAATTATTCTCATGTGAATTAGTATGAAATATATGAAAGACACTTAATGTAATAATGTGTAAACATGTCTTCATTAACTTTCCATGAAGTATAGCATTAAGAATGTATGACAAAACAAAGCCCTGCACAGCTACAACATGGGATATATAGGACACAGATTATCATATTACTATTTGGATGCTCAGAGGCAAGGGAGACTTAAAACCTCTGAGGAAGATTTATACTCCAGACTCAGAATACCAAATAGTAAGGGATCAGAAAAGTTTAGGACAGAAAGATTCATTCTAGGGGTCAAGAATACTTGTTACTGTAATATTTCAAGAAGCCAGATTTTAATAAAGGTATGCACCATGTTTAGAGACACGTGTTACTGCTGGTGAAGAGGCATGCTCCTGGGGTCTGGTACTGCCATGGGTGTATCAAGGTTCTGTTGTAGCTGCAGAAGCCAGCGCTTGGTGGAGTTGTCGTCTTTGAGACATGGAGAAAATGTAGCATCCTTAAGTTGGTCAGGAAGACACTGGCGCAGGGCTTCCTTTGCTCTGTAATGCAACCAAACAATTACACAAGTTATGTACATTTAATAAAGAATATAATAACATACTCCAATCTATAAATTTGCTTGCTATCTGCCCAGAAAATTATGCTTGACATAGCTCTTGGAAAAAAATGTACTGCAGATTGCCTTACCTTGGGTTGTCGGAGAGACGGAGATAACAGCGTACTACATGCTTCAACAGTCTGGCAGAGGGTTCCTTGGAGAGATGAAGCACCATCTTGCCCTGCAAAATGAATGTCAATTGAAAATTATGCAGATTAATTGAAAATCTAAAGTTTGTACAATTTTACCTGCAATCCATCTTCCTCTGTCCATCATGCATATACAAAGTAATTAAACTCAGAGTAGTGTACATGGCTTTCTTCTAAAATAATGACAAAATCAGGTTTTTTTTTCATAAAGTATAAAACACCTAATAGCACTATATTTTGAAGTGCTCTTCTGTTGATGGGACTTTAAAGAAACTTTATAGCAATGTTCAGAGCTAGATAATTACAAAGACTCCAATTGATAATTATAATTGTGATGTGAATACTGTTGATCAGTTGGGAGTGCAGAATATAAATTACACAGATACAGATTTTGAATTACAAACACTGATACTTTAAAATTACAAACACTGCGACTTTAAAATTACAAACACTGATACTTTAAAATTACAAACACTGCGACTTTAAAATTACAAACACTGATACTTTAAAATTACAAACACTGATACTTTAAAATTACAAACACTGAGACTTTAAAATTACAAACAGATTTTAAATAACAAATATTGAGATTTTAAAATTTCAAACAGATCTAGAGATTTTAAGTAACTAACAGTGAGATTTTAAAATGATGGCAGAGATTTTAAATAACAAACACTGCGACTTTAAAATTACAAACACTGAGACTTTAAAATTACAAACAGAGATTTTAAATAACAAACACAGCTTTAAGATTACAAAAACACAGATTTCACTCTCAAACATGTCCTTGTATGACCCCCTTCCACAAGATTCATTTGTTATATGATAGAGTTATCATGCTAGAACAGTCAACCAAGCAAAGAGCGCTGCGGTTACTTACCAGGATCATGGCGACGTGAGAGAAGCGTTCATAGGTCTGACAAATGTAGGACAGTCCCATTTCATCCAACAGAATCTTCTGTAGGATAAATGTTGCCACCTGTAACACAATAAAAATGATAAATAGTGCACAGTATCATTCACATAAGGTTCCATTCTCTTTTTATAAATTCATTTGAAAATAAACACTCTTTTTGATTTAATCTAATATAAAGTATGAATTCTTTTCACAGACGTAGGCACAGTGTATTATATAGGGATGAAATTTGCTATCACACATCTGTGTGCATAATGAGGGCTGCTATCCCACTGGGATTCTTACATGGTTTGTTAAAAACTTGGAAATGATGTATTAAAGAAGTATGGGATAGCATTTATCTATCCTATCATTAGATCTATCAGGTACAGATTGAATAGTTATATACCCTCATAATAAAGAGTGTCTTGTTTGCAAAGTGCCACACGTGACCAGATAGAGTACAGAAACTCATTATATATACATGGGTACATTATATATATGTAAACCTCTTGTAGTCTCAGCAATAAATCATCTTAAATCCTATACTGCTAGAAAGGTCATTTTATTTATATTCCTTTAAAAATTTGTATTTCTCTCATTTTTCTATCATTTTGTGAACAAAAAATATATACACTCAGGTAAATGTTAAATGTGGTGTTTGTTACATTGGAGAGGGAGCCAGAATGGACCTTTGACGTATATACCCATATACAGGTAATTTTTGTTGGCCCAGAAACACAACTCTATAAGGTGTTTTGTCAAACTAAAAATTACGTTTATAATCAGATCACTATTTAGTCGTAACTACATGTTTTACATGTAATTTTCAGCCTCTAATATAAGTCAATAATTTTTACCAAAATGTACAAAATGTTTTCTCCTATCACAGGGTTGTGTGCTTAGTACTGTATCGTGCATGTGTGCTAATGGGTTTGGTGTGTTGTATGTTAACACAACTGGATTTATATAAATATATACATGCATACTTAAATGGTCGCTAGTTATTTTTGTGAGTAGTACACACTATAGATCTGTGTGTAAGTCTACAGCTATAACACACACTATAGATCTGTGTGAAAGTCTACAGCTATGACACACACTATAGATCTGTGTTTAAGTCTACAGCTATGGCACACACTATAGATCTGTGTGTAAGTCTACAGCTATGACACACACTATAGATCTGTCTGTAAGTCTACAGCTATGACACACACTATAGATCTGCGTGAAAGTCTGCAGCTATGACACACACTATAGATCTGCGTGAAAGTCTGCAGCTATGACACACACTATAGATCTGCGTGAAAGTCTGCAGCTATGACACACTATAGATCTGCGTGAAAGTCTGCAGCTATGACACACACTATAGATCTGTGTGAAAGTCTGCAGCTATGACACACACTATAGATCTGTGTGAAAGTCTGCAGCTATGACACACACTATAGATCTGTGTATATCTATAAATACGCTACAGATCTGTGTGTAATTAAGTCTACTTCTATTATAATTATACCATCTAAAGAACTATGTAAAAGTTAACATCTACATCACAAATGATGGTACAGCCAATCCATCAAATACTACAGAGCTCTTCTTATACTCACTGTTTTAGACAGCTCACTGCCTGACTCCATGATCCGCAGACACAGAGGAATGATTTCCGTTGTGAGTAAGAAATTGATTACTTCCTGCTCATCAGTCTAAAAAATGACAAATTAAAAAAAATTGATTTATTAAATGTATCACTTTTATTAGACATAATTCAGACACATCAGTTATAGAAGTCTCAGAAATAAATTTTAGACAAACTGATATAAAAAAAACTGTAGACCGAATCTTGTGCAAGATCTGGCTTTGTTAATTAAGCATACTGACCTTGACGAGTGCTCCTATTACACCAAGACTAGTGAGTCGTAGGTACTCAAATGGTCTTGTCTTACTAACTGTGTGTAAAAACGGGTACAGGAACAATGGAATGTGTGCTGTAAAATAAATAATACATTCCTGATAAAAATCAAAGATGCAAAATGTAATCTGATGGAAGCTTGTACTTTGACAAGATTACAAAAGCTAACATTTGACATTTGCAAACTAATCTTAACTGATGACTTACATGTTATGTGAACCAACTTTCTTACAGGGCTACCAATTCTTGTGATTTCACTCTCAGCAAGAAGTTAACAGAGGCTAATTTTTGTTAAACACACAATATTACATTATATCATAATCATTATTTATTATCTTGTCATTTCACTATCAATTCCTTGCAAGAATGGCAGATCGTGTTTCGGGGTGGGATGCTATATTGTGACTTGCCCAGTAGGAAGCCAGATCATGACTTAGTATGGGGCATTACAGTGACTTACCCTGAAGGAAGGCAGATCATGTCTCAGGGTGGGGGGACATAACAGTGACTTACCCTGAAGGAAGGCAGATTGTGTCTCAGGGTAGGGGGACATTACAGTGACTTACCCTGAAGGAAGGCAGATAGTATCTCAGGGTAGGGGGACATTACAGTGACTTACCCTGTAAGAAGGCAGATTGTGTCTCAGGGTGGGACATTACAGCGACTTACCCTGAAGGAAGGCAGATCGTGTCTCATGGTGGGGGGGACATTACAGTGACTTACCCTGTAAGAAGACAGATTGTGTCTCAGGGTGGGACATTACAGTGACTTACCCTGAAGGAAGGCAGATCGTGTCTCAGGGTGGGACATTACAGTGACTTACCCTGAAGGAAGGCAGATCGTGTCTCAGGGTGGGATGCTACACATTGGAGTAGAGCCAATGCATTACATACTCTGTTGGACTGGTGGGCCTAAAATATACAATGCATTGTTGGTAAGTCATCCTGGTACATGTTGTTGTATAAATACACAATACATCCTTATAATCCTTGGTTCCTTCAGTGGTATTTTACAGACATCTTGTACTTTCTCTTTACCCTCGCGTACAGGTGAACTTGTCAATGCAATGAATGTATAAATTTACAGATGAGGTCACGGTCTTTTATTTTACAAAACTAGATCTGTCTATATTTCCTCATGCTGTCCAGTTTTACTATTGGCAGTTTTATCAGTATGAACAGACCTCGCTAAAACCTTTTAAGTACAGACTTTGCATTCCTCCAATCAACTGACAAAAATATGTTGTGATATTATTTTTTTCAAATTCAAGCCTAAAAGATCATACAATTACATGTTTCTGATGGTGATAAAATTTACCTGGGAATGGTAAAGAAAATTTATTGTATTGTGTCTAAAAGCTGTTTTTATGCGACAGCAATTGAATATTCTACTACTTCTTGATTGGTTCATTTTAAGTATCATGTGACATCATACATACAGCACATCACAGGGATTCTTAACCCAATAGCCCTGCATGTCATGTAGAACATAAGTTAAAATATGGCTTTAGTTTTGTTTAAAAAAAAGAAGGAGAGCAAAAAAATGTATATCTAATACATGTTCATAACGGGACTTGAAATGTAAATTAAATTATCATTCCTTGACATAAGTGAGTAATTTTACAGTTACAATATACATCTTAACAAACTCTTGGCAAGCTAGAGCAGGGGCCAATTTTCCTTGTTCATCTCAAATGAGGTGACTACATTTGCCCTCTTCCACCTTTAACTGACTTCACTGATACTGAATCAAATTTTCTGTCACTCACAAACCTGTTCAGTTTGCTCTTTGTTCCTAAGCTGACTCAAACATAGGTGATCTTGTTTCAACTATTACAGGTTGTGATAGATGACACCACTCTTCTGAATCTCTATTAACTAAATCACAATGCCAATGGCTTGCAAAGATGATTAATGTGCAAGCAATGAATTCATTTGATCCTCCAGAATGACATATCTCATTAGAAAAATTATTTAAAGCACTGAATTATCTGCATGACTCACTGTGAGATGAGGTGGATTTATGGCTGGGTAGATGTTAACAATTTCCTGGAGGAGAGCAGCAACTGTACCAAATGAGTGCCACAACATTGGAGCTAGATCTGGTACAACTTCTCTTTTTTTACTGGAAATAATCAAATGTTGGAATTTTTTCAAAATTGAAAGACAATTCAAACAATATCTTACAGACCGTTGTTTTCAAGCATCTTTACACATTTTGCGTGGTTTTTCAATTTATCAATGGCTATGGATATCTTATATCAGTAACCATACAGTACTGTATATAGTTAAGACCGACATAATTACAGGTGCATAAAAAATGGCAAAAAGCACTCTTAAAAAGAATCAGAAGAGAGACTGTACTTAACTAATATATGAAATATATTTCTTACTAAGTACTACATCATAAAATCAGCCTAACACTTTCATGATCACAGGTCAAAGTATTCCATAATAAGTGATAAATAGCTATCGGTATATATAAAATACATATACCATTAATAAGAGGTATTATCAATGTCAACATTCTGCAGAAACCAATATTGTAGGATTCTGAGTAAAAGTGTTGGCACCTTACTATGTTTTGATAACATTTCCATTGCAACTTAGATTTACATTCATCCAGGTATCTATAGTATATACCAGATAGATATAAATGTTTTCCATTGACTTATCATTAGCCGAGCGCTTGAATGGTAACTATAGGTAAAGTAAACCTTCGTTCAGTCTAAACAAAATTAAACAACTAGAACTATTGTTGGATCTGTTAAAGTAATATGAAATTATGCTTATGAAATAAATTCGTGTTCAAACTAACAAAATCAGCATTGCTCAAAAGCATGATGATGTGTTTTAAAGCATCCTAGCAAGACACGAAACTACAAATCAGTAATGGTAATGTTTTTTTCTTTAAAAAAAGTAGATTACAGCATTAGTATGTTTTGAAACACATATGATTACTGCACTGCAATACATGATAATCATCTGTTACGACATCACAGGTTTCATTTCGTTCTTCATTATGTTGGATATTGTGATAAAGAAACCATGATAAGTGTAGCTTGAAAAAAACATATCTACTTGTGTATTGGTGTTGACATATCACTATGCAGAGTGAGGATTGAGCCTTAATATGTCTACAGATTTATATTTGTTAAAATCTCTGGAATCATTATTTGGAGAGTATTGACATGATTATGTTATCAAACTGTGATGCCAATATTTTTATCAATAGTTATATGCATGGTCTGGTGATATGTGTGAGCAATTTGAATTGTAAGTGAAATAAGATTAGACTTTCAATACATAGAATGTTGCCTTAATTTAAAAATCCTTTGTTCAAACTGACCTGAAGTTTACTGTAGGGAGATATGACCAGATGGGTCATGAAGCTTACAACTATGTATACCTCCAAAATTTGTACAAATTCTTTTTGAAAATCTTAACACTGTTCAGAATATGTAATGTTGGTTGTCTCAAATAAGCTTTCCTGGAGAAAGAATTCATATTTGAAAGCAAATTTCCATATTTTCACCTGAGTTCTTGGAGTGCATTTTCTCTTGTATCAGGACCAGTAAGTTCCACTATCCACTGATAAATCTTCTCACGGTCAACCTGGGACATGACTGCAGGGACTCTGTCAACCTGGGACATAACTGGAGGTCCAGAAACGGTTGGACCAGATGGGCCCTGGCCTCCCGTTGTGTTCATCATCCTTTGCTGCCACTACAAATTATTGCATTAATGCATATATATTCCATCACTCACAATAATTTAGACATATCTAAATGTTTTTTCTCTTTTCCCACTACAAAATTGTTTTCTGACATTGGTAATTTGCTATATTTAAAGCTTTAAATAGTGTGTGTGGTGATTTTTTTTATCATTAAATCAATCAAAATGATCCGCGTGAAAGGTAACAGAGGTTACCTATACAGCTCGACAAAATGACCGAAATGAATAGCTGTTGGAAACCTATCATACATACAGCAACATTTCTGCATAATCATATTATACAGTATATTGTGGTTGGTGACATCTCGTCAACATAAAAACATATTTATTCTCTTGGTCAGCAGATTCTAGATTAAACATCTAAATTCAGTCCGTAACAATAAGCATTTATATTAAATCAAAGACAGACATAACATCTTGCACAATACAAAAACGGACCGCTTGCGAAATACATTCTTAAATTGGAAAGAAATGTACCGACGTATCCTTACAATCCCTAATTTGGCTTTCAGGGACTCAAAACTGGGAAACCGGGAAAAGTGGGAGGTCGCTCAGGGAATTTACGTTGCTTAAGGGACTTGCTTTCATAGCGTTACGCATACAAGTTTCACTGTCAATGAGAATCATTACTGTTTCTTTTTACCATGAGTGTAATGAACAACACTCCGTAAACTAGCGCATAAGGTCACAAAGAACAGACCATTGAAAGTAAACTTACCCAGTGCGTTACCGGAAATGCTACAACTGAAAGTAATTTTCGAAACCACCAAATAACGGCACGTACTTTCCGGAAATAAATTGACCTGAATAAATGCAAGGCAAAGTTTACAGACAGTTTGTAATGGACTGGAAAGAAAGCTGGTGATATTGATAGATCTTTTAATATGTAAAAAGGACAGCGCGTGTTGATCAACAAGAGGGTAAATACGTGTAGTTAAGAATAGGAGAGAGAAGAGAAACGGCTGGGTACTTGTACACTGTAGCTATAATAAAAAACAAAACTCAAAAAATGTCCGCTGATGCACGACAACGATGTCGAAGGCATATAGATTACCAGATATTTATATATTATCAAATCAAGTAAAATGCATCATTGTGTTATCTTTTATTGGTTTTTTCCTATTTCTTCCATTCGTAAACGGATTTATCTGTAAGCATATCTCCCATTTACGACAAGTTTGGACTTCTAAATTAATATGAATCAATATTTAGTAACTATTGTAAGGTGCGTATATTTATCTTGTTTGTCAACTTTATGTCGTCTGCTGAAAGGCTGTAAAGCTTAAATAGCGGGCGTTAAACCTGCTTTATATAAGGAGGACTATCTTTAAGCAATGTTTAAAATTTCAAAATACATTTCATGGTGTGAGTAAATACACGCTATCTTTGTCAGATCTGAACCATCGAACAACATGGTTTATGGACTAATCGGTATCTAATCATTTAATATGCTGTACAGTTCGATTCGCTGTTTCGATCGACAAAGTAATAATGGCCAGCCTCTTTACAGATGTAACCACAACGGCACATCGTTGGCCATCAAGTAGATTTATTCTAAGCGTGAATTTAGAGAAGGAAGCGTTTTCTGACTTTAGAGAAGGAAAAAGAGCAGATACGAGTTCGTCCATGTCCTTGTGGTATGTGAATCTGTCCCATTTTAGAACTACATGTAAATTATCACCATTCTGAGTATTTGGACAAGAAAACAAAATAGTCTATGAGCACTAGGAATCTCAACACTCAAAATCCACCAAGTAAGCAAGAAAGTACCAATCACTGGGGAATAGAGTCGCTGATAAGGGAAAAGACATTGGAGTAATGGTAGATTCTGAACTTTCTTTCCAAGACCGCAGAAGTGAAAAAGTGAAGAAAGCTAATCAAATTTTCGGATTGTTAAGAAGAACATTTCAGTTTATGAATTCTAAAACTTTTCTTCTGCTGTACAAAAGCTTAATTGGTGAGATCACAACTGGATAACGCAAGTTCTGTTTGGTCAGCAGTAAAAGTGAAAGGTATAGATAAGCTGGAGTCAGTTCAACGAAGGGCCACAAAAAAGTTACCTGGGATGAAGGATATGTCGTACCAGGACAGGCAACAGAAGCAAAATCTTCCAATTCTAACATACAGAAGGCTTAGAGGGGATATGATAGAAGTCTATAAATCACAAATGGTATATAAGATAAAGATTCGTGCAATTTTGTAAAGCTTAAGATGGACGTAGGAATAAGAAGTGGTCGAGGACACTCTAAAACACTGTTTCTTCAACAACACAGGACCAATAGAAGAGGAAATAGCTTTGCTATAAGAACTGTAAAAACTTGGAATAATCTTACAGAAGACATTGTATCTGCTCCAAATATAACAAACTGGGTAAGTTTTGGAAAAATCAAGATATTGTATATGATTATAGAGCTACTGTAAACCAGAGACGTATATATCATGATATATACGTCTCTGTGTAAACTAACCGGAAAATGAATTTTATCCACATTGATTTGGAGTCTGGTGAAGAGGAACACTGTGTGTTCTTGTACCGGAAACACAAAGTACTATACTGTACTGTACTGTATTGGAAAGATCCAACGATTTGTTTTTTGAAGGCATACGGCGAAATAATTGAGCTCCAAAGAAGAATTATGGGTTATCTCCCTTCCGTACCGACATCAACATGAAAGTCCGCCTGGAACGCCATCAATAATCACTTCAATATCGGATTGCAACTCTAATACATACTGAGTGTACCAGTTCCCTTCAGGATAACTAAAACAATTATCAAGCTTTATCATAAATCCTTCAAGATGAACAGCCCATTAAAAAAAGTATCGTCATTTTATAAGTTTCGAAGCGTGGTCGAAGCACAAAACTAGCAAAATACAGCCATTTTCGTATGTCCCTGCGCTTTGAATACCCTCTATTTTCAAAACGAAATCACCAATCAACTAGTTCCTGTTCAGGAATCACCATAATATATCTAAGAACTGACACTGGGTATTTGCAGTATTGGCCAATCAATTTAAAGTCGTCATTTTAAGTTCATTTCAACTATGTACACCATCCGGTGCACATACAATTTCACACCCCAAACAGTATGAAAAATAAGAGCGAAATTTCAACTGTATCTCTTTAATGCCATTGATCATGACGTAAATTATAACAAATACTGGAATAACAAAATCAGAATAACTGAAAAAAATAATAGAAACACATTATCTTGGTATATCAGTGAAAATAACAAGTGTCAATACAGACTAAAAACATGAAAAAATAAAGATAGACATTGCATGTATAACGTCTTATAAAATATAAATCGGGCATCACGTAAAATACATTCATATGAAATACCTATCTAAACTTATCATTAGATGTGTTTCAAAAGTTCATGAAATTTATAGGCTTTATTTTAGGAAATACAATATATAATTATAAGCGACCCAAATGGTCAGCACTGAAAACTTTACTTAAATCAATAATACAAGACACCACTCCATTTACCAAGAGCTTAATTCTTTCTGAGGACATTTACCTTTATCTTATAATATCAATGAAGAAAAACTTGCATATCTAAAATTTGAGTGTGATCCATCCAGTACTTTTTAAGAATTACTTCATGGCAGTAACAAGTTTTGTTTAAAGATAGAAAGACAGGCGATGGACCGCAAACAAAGAGCAATTTAAATCTAAATTCAATGAATGTACAATAATAAAAATGTCTTTATAAAAAGCTGACTTGGCGAAAAACTTTTAAAAATCTTTATACCTGTTACAAAAGTTAATTGAAATTATAGAATGTAAGTGGCATAACCATTTTAAGTCTTCAAGACACTCAAAGGATATGTAGTCATCATTTTAGCCATCATCACATGGGACCAACCCACAAATTTATTGCAAAAACATTCTTAGTCTTGTGGCAGAAATCAGAATGCTGGACAATATTTCCTCAAACTCTACTTTTAGATCAGGATTACTGTAAATGTGGGAGGAAGGAGAGAGGAAATGTGTCACAAACCTGGTCCATGTCAAATGTTGATCAATGAGCGAGACTTGGTTACTTTGAGAGTCCGATGAAGGGAAAAAACCAAACAAGAAAACTTCATTCTCAATGATAAGGAAACCTTTGTTTGAAGATATACCTCTGACAGACATTGTTGTTGACAATCTACATGTTTTTTTTCCAGAAATGACAAAGCACTTCTACATTTTTCTATTTCTGTTTTATGTCATTTAGACTGATGAGATTTACTGCAGTCTTCAAATGACTTTCTTTTTCCTCTTGTAGAACGTACATCTATTGGCATTGTTATTAATCAGTTTAGTTTTGTCACACAAAAACACCTTATTTTTCTCTACTTTATCACTTAGCCCTTTTTTCATTTTGTAAAAAGTTACATTTTCAGCTAATGTGTTGTTTCGATTGATCAATTTCTGATTTGCCTCTTCCATTATCTCCATCTTTTTTTGCATACTGTGATGCTCTATTCCTATTTTCCAGATGTAAGATGATTTTTTTTCCAAATTTTCTACAAGCTCATTGTACTGTCTTCCACCTTTTTTTTTATGTCTTTAGTCATTTTTGTTTCAACTTGTGAAGCAGTTTTCAAATTGTGAATTTGTTGAGTGTCAACATTAAATGAAACATTAAGTTGATATTCAAGAATCTGAATAAACTGTCAAATTTGATCAGATATAGACAGACTCTAAAAATTGGATTTAAGAATATGAAAAAGAGTGTATCTGCTGATATACATTTGGATACAGCTGACCTGTTGACAATGTCAGGTATGATCACAATACATCTGCATTTTGTAGAACTGATAGTCTGGAAGCATTTCCAGCACACACAACAAATGTTAAAGTTAAACAAACTCCCCTGTCTACTTCTGATTCTTGTTTGTGATCAGGGTATAATATGTATTCCTTTAATGGTTTTCTTCTGTAAAGCCAAAATTTGACAGTAACTGTTTTCACAAAATAATTGTCACCCAGTTCTGTAATCCCATCCAACTCCCAAAAGTTTCTCCATGTCCTGTCGATTTTTGATATCATAAACAACCCTGTGCTTGGTGACCTTGTATATTCTTGCATTATTTTGTATTGGCTTAAAATCTTCCATTTCCATAACAGGAATCCTAATTGTGATTCTTGAATCTTTTAGGCTTGGTGATAAGTGTTCTTTTATCTGGACCTGCAATACAAAGTGTATCACATATAAACAATAAGCATTATATATATTGATTACATATCACATCGTAGACAAGAGATCCAACAGGGACTTTGACCCCCACCATTGTATATGAACTTTATTGATTATATCCCAGCTAAATTTTTTTCTGAACTTCTTGTCTCTTTCCTCTTGATGTTCTGTTCCATTGACAAAATATGCACCATATGAGTGTAGATAAAATATAGCAACAACCAACTTCAACTGTCATAATCCCAGATGGGCAAATGTTGGTAATTTTACTTTATCAATAATCTTCAAATTGAACAGGCAATGCTGGGGTTGACAAACCTACATATTAATTTGAGAAATATCCTTCTGGTATTTTTCGAGAAGTAGCTATAATACACATTGTTTCTGGACAGACAACTTATTGCAGAATGAGATGAAGGTTGCCAAAAAATTTGAAACCATCCACTGATGATGGTTGACAAAAAATAGAATTGATGCCAGTCAGATTTGGACTCTGCAATACAGAATAGTTTGAAAGCCATTAAACTGTCAAAACTCATGTCAC